GATTCATAATGCGTGTGAAAGGAAGAATTTGATGGTTTTCTTTATGTCTTTGTTTTTTTGTTTACTAGGACGATTGGGTAGGGGTGACGAGAGAGAGTCATTTGGCGTGAAGAAGTAAAAAAGTTTTGAATGGCGTCTTTCGCTTGCTTGGTTGGTTCGTGCGACTGGGCCGCGATGACATGGACCCCTTTATAGAGAGGGCTGCAAGGGCGTGGGGTGGAGACTGTCTGGTTTGAATTGGGCTTAAATTGCATTCTGGACATGTTTTGCTCTTGTCAAGTTTTCCTGGAGCTCGCGTAACGATGGTGAGAGGAGAGGCGTGGTCAGTAGTCTTGGGCCTTTTGTTTGGTAGTTTTGACCCGATTATTTAGGTAAATCAGGTGGTTTTTTAGAAGTTGATTGTACTGCTTATTTGTGGGTTTTGGGGGGGGGGGGACAGAGGCCAGAAGATGCGGTGAAGGAGGCGGACAGCAGCAGGCTTTCGATGTACAGGCAGAAGAGGCAGTAGAGGTAGACGGGAGGGCGTAGTTGGGAGAGTGAGTTGCAGCTTGGGTTGCACGATGGACGAGAAGGTGGGCAATTGGCAGTCGATATCGGCAATATATGAGCCGAGGCTTGCAGTTTTCGAGCCTTGCGTCACAGCACGGAAAATCTGCCGAGAATTGACCCTCTGCCAGATAACCACGGAGACCACCGCCTGAAAAGTGTCCTGGATCGCGATCTGCACCAACGGCTTACTCGGGCCCTCCTTGCGAGGTATTTCTCTTGTCGTATTGTCGCGGCATTCCAAGTATGCCTGTAAGTTGTCGTCGCATCTCCTCCAGACACACACAGACACACACAGAGGAACTGACGTCTGCAGCTCATCCTGATATCAGGTATGGAAAACGCCCCCCCCCTTCCCCCGCCTTCACACACAGGCGCGCTAACGTGCAACAAAGGATACCCCAAGGCGGGCAAGTCAACACGCGCCGTCCAGCTAAAGGAACATTTTGAGTCCAAGATCGCCAGTTCGACGGCCGATGCACGCGTCAATCGCCTCAAAGTTCATCTGATCAACGATCAAACACTCGGCGTTGCGCGTACGGTATACCACACTGCGAAAGCCGAAAAGGATGCTCGCGCGGAAGAATATTCTGCCGTCAAGAGGGTCTTGTCGCGCGACGACATTGTTATCGCAGATGGCCTCAACTACATCAAGGGCTTTCGATACCAACTATACTGCGAGGCCAAGGCACTGCAGACGCCAAGCTGCGTGGTGAGTACCTATCTAGCCCCATTGTCCGTCGGCCAGCGAGCTGATAGTCCTAGAGTTGCACGTAGGCACACAGCCCGATCGATGTCGCGAATACAACAACAAGGACAGGGAAAAGGGTGAAGCGTACGAGGATGAGGATTTTGAGAATCTCATCTTCCGCTATGAAGAGCCCAATGGCATGACAAGATGGGACAGTCCTCTCTTCATCGTGGTCGAGGAAGATCCTGCCCCACCGTGCGATCAGATATGGGACGCTTTGATAGGAAGCGACGGTAAAGGCAAGGTTGTCAAAGCAAATCTGGCAACAGTCTTGGTACGTACCCAGACGCTAGTCCAACTGAACCTACTTCACTCACTTACAGTATTCTGTAGAAGCCTGCGACGGAGCAAAATTACCTCTACGAATTGGACAAGACGACGTCCGACATCCTTGCACAAATCATGACATACCAAAAAGATCATGCAGGAGAAGGAGGTGGACAGATTACAGTCGAGGGCGTTGAGAAGCCCATCGAGCTGCCCGCAACACCAATGACCCTACCCCAACTCCAGCGCACACGCCGCCAATTCATCGCCCTAAACCGTCAACACAGCTTTTCAAAGGCAAGGATCAAGGAAGTATTTGTCGACTACCTCAATGCAGAGTTCTTACGCTAGCACATCCTCACGATTATCGCCACCACATGCTAGGTGAAGATATACTGCTGTACCGCACCCTGCACACGAGCATCACCCCGCCCATCCACTTTACCGACCGATTGCCTTGTGCCCGCCAACGGATAGTAACGGGTCCCGAGGCTTTGACGAAGATGCCCATGTCCCCTTGTCCACAAACAGCCGACCTCAAGTCACAACCCGGAACGTTCCGAGTCCGAGGTCTTAGTCAGCTCACGCCTGGCCATCCCTTTGCTCCAGCACCTCTGCAGTCAACCTCGCATGGCCCGACGCATCGGCTATACAATACCTACGACCACCCCACGTCCCATCTCGCTGTGACTGCGGATGGACCGATGTGTGGGTACCGCACATTGATGTACTTACCAAATCTTTCGCTTTGTGCAAACTCTCCGAGCTGCCGCACAGAGTGCCTAGAGTAGAAAAGCCAATGATAGATACTTTTTCGGCCAAAATCACTAGGGCTGCGGCTTTAATATGCAGGCAACTCGATGAAACCTGCCCCAGGAATTTATCATCCCTCACACAAGCTTCTTACTGCTAAGATCGCGATGGTCAGCTTCGAGATGCGCATGGCGTTGATCGAAGTGTGACGGCTGCCTACTGTGTAGAGTCCTGGAGTTCAGAATCTTTATACGTTGGTCCGCATTCTTACTAGCGTCTGTATCAAAGTTACCCCATTGGTGTTGTGAGAATTGAAGTGATGACTACACAACACTAACTCAATCCAGTCGGACTAGGTATCATACTAGTATCGAACGTATGTTTTGTGACATCCTCTGCCTCCTTCTCTTCCTTCTCCTTTGCCTTCTCCTCCGCTTCATCCGATACCACCACCTCTAGGATAAGGATATCGAGGGATGAAAATATCAATTGCATCATGTACGTGCAGCGTACTCACTGCTAACCATCCTCCACGGTGCCTCTTTCGGTCTTAATAAGTTTTGATCAAGAACATACATAAGTCGGCTTTTAAAATTCTCTTCTTCTACTTGATACAAGCCCCAGCATACTATGTATGTTCATCTCACCATTACAACGTAACTCCTCCAGAATAAGTATTCTTAACTCTAGCATAGACCAGTTAGCTTGAAGATAAAAACCTGAGGTATATTTGGCGAGGGGAATGTTACCACCCCAGTAATGCGACATCAGGGGTCCAAGTACCTCCTGAAATGCTGATGGAATGTGATGGAAAGGATGATAAGAACCAACGTGTAAGTTCCTATCTGCCTGTCCTTTATAGCAATATGATTATTTTACATGTGCTATTTTAATTTAATTTAGCACATAAGATGCGTAAGACTAGTCCTCTCCTCTCCATTGCGTTTATTACTAAATCCTTAAACAGTGCAAGCCGTAAATTGTCTAGCAAAGGACAGACATATCTTCTAGTATGAAGAAGGCCAACCATCATCCGCGTGGTAGAACGAGCAGGGAGGGCCGAGCAACTGAACAATGCTCAGGGTCATGGCGGGATAGCAAAAGTGACAGAAGTGGAAGATACTATAGATGCATACCGGAACGTGTTACGACTGTTGAACAGCACAATACAATCTAACGGTATCCTGGTATACATGATTTCCTTGATCCCATACCAATTTAACATGCCAATTATAAGGCACAACTGTAATCACCCACTACCCTT